GATAAGATTCAAGTCACACAAAGATGTTTGGGATTCCTGTCTTTTACGTATCACGTGATTTTGATTAGTTTCTTGACCATTAATAAATCGTACCCAGGCCAGAGTTCGGCGCGACTGTAGGTCAATCATTCCTGAATCAGTAGTTGATATTGAAGAGATGGGTTTCGATAACATGTTTTTAGTTGAAGAACAAAGAGCAAATGACAGACCGAAAACATCTAGCAGAAGGACTATGACAAGAGAAATAAACAGGGTGGGGTCGGAAGGGGTGCAGAAATTGGGAACCAGCGAGAGAAAAAAACTACCTTGTTCTGTAGTTTAGTCTAACTTTAAAACTAATTATCGCATAATAACCGCAGACCATAAACAATGGCTTCATGTGATCAGACGAAGGCGAAGACTGGAACTAGGAGTATTCTATGACGTCGTACCGTTCTGTTGCAGTTTTCCTGGTAATGAATCAATAATCAGCTGAAATCAGAGCAATATTCTGTAGATAAGCAAAGCACGTCTTCATTGCCTTTGACCAATTCATGACCGAGTTAGTACAAACTAGCTTATCTGAAAAAGACTCCAGGGAACAAAGCCTCCCGTCATAGTAAAATAGATTAGTAAATTACAAAAGAAAACAGCGACACTACTACAGTGTAACTYACTTCAAGGATTTATGTACAAGCTCTGGACAACTGACTCAAAGGAAAACAATCCTTAGATCAGAGACTCGATAGAGACTGTAACGTTTTACAATTGGCTTAATCTGTAATATATGTGYACGCTATGTGTATTATCAATCGTGTTTTCAGTTTAACCACCTGGGGAAATTAAAAACGACCCCCGTAGAACTTGTTTTTAATCGTCCTGAGTATACGCGGCAATGTAGTCCGCAACATGTCTTGGTTTATCGAGGTTTTTATAGCTAATTTCAAGTATTTTGTGCTATCATCGTCTGCAATATCTTAATATTCTAGTATGATCGAGTAAATGGTTCAGATACAATCAACCATGTAACAATTGTTGTCTATTGCTTCTTTATTATCAACTTTATCGTCCAATAATAAGTTTTTATTAAATGTTTTTAGAAGCGAAAAATGATTCAAAGAAGCTTCAGTACAGACAAGGATCACTTCAATAAGGTAAGYAGAGAGTCAGTAAGGGGTCGTTACACGAAAAAGACTGTCCCTATCTCTTGTTTTCTTTTCCCTGGGGACTCAATATAAAATCGCTGTACTTTCTCAGGGGGTCCTTTCTTTAATGTCAACAGTTACAAATTCGTTAAAAATCGACAATCGAACTATGCATCTTACTAGTAGCTYATTAAGTAGTTTCACTGTCTTTTAACAATGTCTTAAATATCGCTTGGCARCTGACTATCGCTTGGCAACTGTATACGCCAGATTCAGTGTAAACTATGATAGTGTGTGCTATTTAGTGTGGGTACCTATGCTAGTTAGTTACTAAAGTCATGGATTACAATACAGCTCTTGCATTAAAAGTCGTATATGAACTAGATAACAATGTAATGGCCATAAGGATAATTAATCTAGAATGCTGACAAGAGTTTTGTGGAAAGACACTGGGAGTGTATTGTATGATAGATATCGACGAGTAATCAACCATAGATCCAATATTTTAAACAGTCATGCGCACTAGACTTACATCTCATCTAAAAACGTGCATTWCAAATGTAATGAAGTCCCAGTGTTCCTTTCGGTGTGAGTCAACTATTTTCCTGTCATTAACAATTTCTGATTGAATAAACTGCTTTATTATTCATTACAACCTCCTCCATAATTCTATTTTCGTCTACGAGTGTAGACGAAAATAGAATTATGGAGGAGGTTGTAATGAATAACAAAGCAGTTTATAAAATCTCGCTGTTTCCGAAGTTAGTAATGCAGTAAATAATACAAACGTTCAGTATATTTAGAAAGAACTTCAGGGTATTTGTTGCAAATCATGTCGCTACTGGCCATATACCTATTATTTATCATGTAATCTTATCGACCGAGATAACATACCTCTTTCGCTGAACAAGATTCCAACATATGATCGTCTTACGACTGTACTACACACATTATCGCATTTGGATGAATATTTTACTCAGTCTTAYCGCGATGAGGAAATACTCGAATCTACTGAAATGAAATCCTTTGCAATTCCAGAATTCTGAATCGGATATTGTACACAGATTCTACATGTACACTTTAATCGTAGTTAATTACTGACATTTTTTCTTGCACAGAATACTCTGATCATACAATAAACTCGCACAACGGCTGATGCATTTTCCATAAAATTGAGGTGGGCGTGTCTCGTGTTTTCTTCATCCACTTAAAGTCCGTTCAGGTACGKTTTGAGAGGCAGGAAAAGTGGTACTAAGTCTTGTTTTGAGTTTATCGGTAATAAAAGTCCATACTTTCCTTGAATTAGTTGTTAGATTGGCTAAGAAATGCACTTTGATTGGTAACCAATTCGTCTTTTTTATGCATTTATATACATATATCTCTGAGTGCGCTATTATGGTGTACAGGATTAGGGCTTTACATCTTAATGCTTTAACACATTCGAGAGTGAACACATTTGCTGTTAATGTAAAACACATCTTGAATCACCAAAAAAATCATTTTCAAAGAAGCGCTACTATGTATATAATTGTACAAATTCATTAAAACGTCTCGGGAATATACGTTTACCATGAATAACTMGGAATTGTACAGGATATATAAAGATAAAATCCATGATGTTATTAATATTGAATCACAGCAATATTACCCTCCTACGAGTTTCAATTAGAGTCAATTAGAAATCAGCTTGGCTTCCATCGTTATCAATGAACAGTGATACTTGAATAAGTAATGGAAACACATATGAAATATTCAAGGTACAGCGATCGTTCTTCCACTGTTCTTCACTATAAACTTGTTTTTAAACACACCCTTTACGCGTCGAACAAAGCTGTTTATTTGTTAGAACCATAAACAGACGAAGTCTTGAATTATCGAAAAGATTCACGACTCGAATGGGTGATCTGTGCGATCATTGATTCGATTGGTAAGTAACTTACACCGTACTAATTGTAACACCGTTCAAAGTGCTAATGTTCTYATGAGAAGTGTATCGAGAATCACATTTTCAACAAAAMATTAYCAAAAACCTTTTAGCTATTAGGCTATAAGAAGTGATTCTTTCGATCGCACTTCGATGTTTCTTTGAGGGMTTTATTCGAATGATAACGTCTAAATTCATGCCACCATTAGTAAACAAAAACGTCTTCTAGAATCACCGATCAAACAGCATTCTATTTACCTTTCATCCGAGTTAAAAAAAGATTGTTGTTGTTATGATTAATTAACTTTTACATCAACACTTTACAATCTTTGGAAAACAAACAAATTACTGTAACAAAAGAAGATAAAAATGCATCATGAAAAATTGAAAGWTTTGKTTGCGRAAAAAATGAAAATAAACTAAATGCAAGAAAAAAGAACAAAGAAACAAAGGRAGGAAGAAAGGAAGGGAGGACGGAATGTGAGGGGAGGTGTTGGGGATTAATGCTAATTTCATGAAAGAATTACAARTGACCCATTCATCAAGACGTCATATCGACGCATGGATTTACGTAAGGCAAGAGCTTWCGTAGAGTTTTAGTGGCCTGGGTTCGACWCTTTGCATGACTTTAGTAYAACTTTAGTTTACTTTCTCACAGTTGTTATTCGATCATGTAACTGCTTTATTTGAGAAAATTCTTGTGATAATGTATATTTTATCATCAATATAGTTTTAGCAATTATCAACAAACGAATAAAGGAGTCATCTTTTCGATTGTTGGTTAAAAAACTGGCCACTACGCWACACGAAGGTGAATGAGTACAGAAAGCAAAGACGGATTCTTATTCTGATAGAATGAGACCAGGGTTTCATAATGTTAATAATTAGTTTCCAATACACATGCGGTAGAAGGTTACGTTATTGCGCAGACAGCCAACAGAATGATAGGTTAAGATATTGTATCAGCACTTGATCTTACCTTGATACTCTAATAAATTCTGTTTGATGGTTAGTGATCTTTAATCCCCTGTAACAACAACAGCAAACAAGGGCATGAATACCTGACAACCATGAAGTAGCWTAAACATCTGAATCAAACCGCGCAGACCAATGGACAAAAGGGATGACTAYA